GAAAATCATCAAGAATTCAAATTTCGCGCGCTTTTACCTGCAGTTGGCCTAGAAAAAACCCGCTACTTCACTCGGCCACCAGTTCCCACTTTGACTTTTCGATGCCGTTTTTCTCAATGAATGAATTTTTTTGATTTTTTTATGGGAATCTACATGGATTTCTACACAAAATAAAGCAATAAAATGTTTCCTTTAAATTCGAAAAATCGACAATTCAGGGACTCTAAATTTCAGAAATGTTTCAAAAAGCTACAGATATTTCGGGGAAATTCAGAAGTTCGAAAAAAACTGGTACAAAAAAGTCGGTGGCCGTGCCCGAAAGGTCCCACAACGAAAATCACAGTAACCTACAAATAGTATTGTCGAATTTGTTCAATTATCGATTCTCAGTTATTTACTCTTTAAAAAGTTGGAAAAATAGCCAAAAAAACTGGTCAAAAATTTTTAAAAAATTCGCGAATAAAAAAAAGTTTTAGATTACTGTAGTTTTTTCATATTTTTTCAATTAAAGAAATATGTAGAAAATAAGAAAAATGTGCACTCGAAAAGTGAAATTGAGAGAAAAAGGGGAAAAGAAGAAGAGGAAGGCTGAGAGTATATATCCATGCCAACTAATGATAGGGTTTAGCAGAGAGAGAGAGAGAGAGAGTCACAAGCGAATATGAAAATTCTCCAAAAAGAGTTTTATAGAAAAATACATTTTTATTTTATTTCGGAAAAAGAAAAAAGACAGAAAAAATTGCAAAAAAACATTAAATATAGAAAGAGTCATGAAAAATTACAAAAAAACTTTTTTTTCAAAAATTATCATCCTATCAGTACCACTTCTCGCTATCATCCTTCTGAATCTGCTCACGGAGCTCTTTTTCAGCGGCATCGTCGATTTTGCTCAAATCGCGGAATCCTTCATCGCCGACGAAACAGATCTCGTGAGCATCTGGATCGGCGAGAATCACCACTTGAACGTCTGCTTTTCCGGGGGTTTTGAGGGTGAGCAACTCGTTTATGATAGTGCCGTTGGCTGATTTTATCTTGTCTTGGAGGGGTTGGAGCTGGAAAAAAAACCATCAGAATTTCAAAATTTCAAAATCTCAAAATTTCTGAATTTCTGAATTTCCTAGCACTTCTGAATTTTTGAATTACCGAAATTCTGCATTTTCTGATTTGTTAGAATTTTGGAATTTCTGCATTTTCTTTTCGACTTTTTGAAAATTTTGAACTTTCCAAAAGTTTTGAACTTTTAACTATCTGGAAATTCTTTTTTTCTGGGAATCCTTTTTTTATTTCTTTTTATTTCAAGAATTTTGAATTTCTGAATTTCTGGATTTCTGAATTTCTGGATTTCTGAATTTCTGAATTTCTGAATTTCTGAAAAGTTCAATTTCTAAACTTTTCGACTTTTTGAAAACTTCGGAATCCTTTTTTTTTAATTTTCTAATTTCTTTTAAAGTTTTTTGGAAGTTTTGAGCATACTTGTAATCCGAGCCTTTGCCGGGCCTTCACGGGCCCTGCCATGATTTCTTTCAGAATCTGTATTTTCGAACCAACTAAATCAGATAGGATAGAGCTCCACGAGTACTACAAAACGGTATTATTTGGAATACTGTATCTTGTCTGTGAACAAAGTTACAGATCATAAAGTGGGGTCCGGCAGGCCCGGGCCGGGCCTGTTTTTTTT